TATTTTTTCTTTTTTTCTTTTTTTTTTTTGGTTTTTCGAGACAGGGTTTCTCTGTGTAGCCCTGGCTGTCCTGGAACTCACTCTGTAGACCAGGCTGGCCTTGAACTCAGAAATCCGCCTGCCTCTGCCTCCCAAGTGCTGGGATTAAAGGCGTGCGCCACCACCGCCTGGCTATTTCAGACTTAATGTACTTTTTGTTGAAAGTTAAGAAGGGCAGACAGGAAGCTGTAAAACATGAAACTTATGTATAAAACTTAGTTATCGAATGGCTGTCAGGTGTAGTGAGGGAAGAGGAAAGACAGAATCTTCTAGGTGAGTTGACATTTTAAAGTATCTTCAAATAACAATTATCTGTGCTATTCTAGTCCCCGATCAAAATTTATGATTGAGCACAGGCTATAAACTTAATTGATGAAAATTTGTAGTGGGACATATTAAATTTTAACCTAATTTAAAACATGGCTGAGTGTTAAAATTTCATCTGCAAAATTTGTTTATTGTTTAATGTAAATTAGATGCAAAGCTCTTAGATGCTTTGCAAAAGGTACTTAAGAATTTTTGTTATTAATCATCCTTGATTTACTTATAATGTTTTAAATTTCATAACCATGCCACAAATCTGAATGACTTGTTTCTTTGCCTGCTCTAATTAAAGCTGCTACCTGTGAAGTTTTATAGTGGGGAAGTCTTGAGTTTGTTAAAAAAAAAAAAACATTGTAAGGTTACGTTAGCAAAATAATATTCATCTCTAAAAGCAAAATAATTGTATTTGCTTTTACTTGGGTATTTTGAATGCTTTTTTGTTGACTTGTTTGAAACTCTGAGTAACCTAGGTTTCACTGTGTGGCCCAGACGAGCTTGGAACTTGTTATGTTTTCCAAGCTGGCCTTGAACTCTGAATCCCCCTGTCTCGGCTGCCTCTTACTTGCTAAGGTTGCAGGCACATGGGCAATCACCATGTCCAGCTCTTTTTTTTTTTTTTTTAAAGATTTATTTATTTATTATATATGAATACGCTGTAGCTGTCTTCAGACACGCCAGAAGAGGGCATCAGATCTCATTACAGATGGTTGTGAGCCACCATGTGGTTGCTGGGATTTGAACTCAGGACCTCTGGAAGTGCAGTCAGTGCTCTTAACCACTGAGCCATCTCTCCAGCCCCATGTCCAGCTCTTGAGTGTTATTTTTCAATAAGAAATCCCATATCTGAAATATTTCAGCAGATTTAATTAAGATTTTGAAAGACCTCAGTAACAATTATGAAATGTGGTAAGGAAACATACAGAGCCCTAGCAGTCTTAGGTGAGGAACTAAAACCTCAGACTTAGATATGTTCTATGGGTAGTGCAAGAAGTGCTGACTTACACGTCAGTCTTGCATTCTGCTTCTCAGCAGTACTAATTTGTACAAACAAAATATTTGCTCTTTTTTTGGGCCACTTTCCATTTGGTAGTAGTTAACAATCAGTCTTCAGAAGAAATACTTGTAGTGTTTGTGTACAGATTTTAAGACTGTTAGTCTGAGAGTAATTTGCTTTTCTTGGGTGTCTGAGTCTCCTTGAGGGTTGATGGATATGTGGACCTGCTTCCCTGAAGCTGTATGTCTGCTCATGCATGCAGAATCCACTGTCTGTTAGAGCTGGTAGTCCTCTAAACTGGGAATCTTTAAGTGTAAAGGATATTGAATTCTCAAACTTGTCCTAAGTAGCTAAGTTGTGATGATTTTTCTTTAAAACTTGGCTCAGAGTATTTCTCCATGTTTGATATTGCTCATTTCTTAGAAGAGCAGAGGAGTCCATCCGGCCTGCGGAGCCTTCTCTCCTTCTGCACCCTTTGCTTTGCTTTCCTGTGTGGTTTCTGTAGTCCTTGTAAGCAGTTTTATAATTGGTGTCATGATATTATCACTTTTTTCTCTTTATTAGCTTAGGATTGACTCTGCTCCTGAATTTTGGAGAAAATGTCTGGGCAACAGATATACATGCACACATTGTAGTCTTTCCATTGACTTCTCAGAAGAGTCATTAGACTTTCCTCAGTGCTGTATTAAATAGAAGTTAAATCGAATCCTGTCCTGACCGTGTTTTAGTGTCAATGAATTTTATATATCCTGGGTGTATGTATTTGTTGATTATTTTTATCTCCATTGTTGATCACAATTATCTCCAATTCTGGAGCTTTCCTTTTTTACAAAATCACATTTATTTATGTCTGTGGACATACACGCCAGAGCATGATTTGCAGAAATCATCCACAGTGTGAATGAGTCCTGGGACCACACACAGGGTTTCAGACTTGGCCATAAGCACTGTGACCCACTGAGCTATCTTTCTGGCATTCATGCACCATGTGGTATTTCATTTTGTTTTTCAGTGGAACACAAGTTCTAAATTTTAGTTTAGTCCAATTTATTAGTCTTTTTTCATTATATTTTAAAAGGGTATTATTGCATTTCTGGTGAACAGCGTTGATAAAACAGTTTTAGACTGTCATCTATGTAAGTAGTTAACAGTGGGCGATTGATGTATAAGGAGTTAAGTAACGAGAGGGCCAGGGACCTGGGAAGAGGAGCAGCTAGTTGGTATTCAGTCAGTCCATGGACCTGACCATTTTGTGAGTGCTCACCATGTGCCTGGTACTGTTTTAGGCATCCTTTGAGTGAAACTGTAGACTTTTCACTGTAGTAACTGATATAATAATCTTCTTTTTTTGTGAGTCTAACTTTATTTTATTTGAAAAGATTTTAGATGTGAAGCAATAATCATAAAAGCTAACTTTATCATTAAGAGTCACAAAATTGAAGAAATTTTATATGTATAAAAAAAGAATGGATACCAAAATAGCTTTTAGTTGTTGAGGATGCAAAGACAATGTAAGATGTAGAAGATAAAAGTATTTAAAAGCTTGTTAAAGAACACAACAAACAAGAAAGAGAAACAAAAAGAGCTTAAATCCTACCACACATGAATGTAATTTTTGAGACTTCACTAACACTCACACAGCAGAACACTCATTTCTGAGGAGAGCCTCAGGGCTCCTTTGGAATTGGCTGTTAGGACTTTATCCTGCATGTGGGGTATGTGTGCAAAACAGCCTGAAGAGACTGAGGACATCTGCAGATGGGGAAACTTGTTTCGGTTAAACTGCACCTGTTGGCCCTAAATCCAGTTAGTAGGGGTCAGCTGCAACTCAGGGCTTCTCCTTGGCACAGGGAGTCGTTTGAAGCAGAAGGACACAGAGTCTAGTTTTTACTAACTGGATTATTTACAGATTTACTACATGATTTCTTTTTTCTTTTCTTTTTTTCCCCTCCCTCCCTCCCTCCCTCCCTCCCCCCCTCCCTCTCGCCCTCTCCCTCTCTCTCTCTCTCTCTCTCTCTCTCTCTCTCTCTCGTGGTTGGGAATCGATTCTAATCATGGTGATTAAAATAGCTATTTAGATGGACTCCTGAGAAATTTGAAAAGAACTGGAGTTCAGAGAAGAAGGAAGAACTGGGCATGGTGGCATACACTGTTAATCTCAGCACTCAGGAGGCAGAGGCTGGTGGATCTCTGTGAGTTTGAATCCAGCCTGGTTTATGGAGTTTCAGGACAGCTTGGGATATGTAAAGAGACCTTATCTTAAACTAAGAACAAAACAAAACCAAACAAACAAGAAGAGAGAAGAGGATGATGATGATGAGGATAGCCAAGTTGATTTCTTTTGGAAATAAATGTAGACTGCACGAATCAGGAACTGTTTAAATAACTTTCCTTTATGCTTAATGTGACTGTACATGGTTAACAAACATTTCTCATCTGAGGGACAGGATCTTTGAAATAACTCCAAGGAAATGAGACACTATTGGAGTAGCATAGATCAGCAAAGTTTTAGGTGTAGTCTAAATGCTGGTTCTGTGTGTGGAGTTTAGATAGGTTAGTGCTGAAAATGTTAAGGGGTCCATTTTAATTTTAGTTCCTTAATACTGGGCGAGGATCCCAAAACTTTGATTTTTCTTTCTAGCTTTATCACTGATTATGAATATGGCATAGAAGAATCATTATGTGTTTGTGGCTCATAGTCCCAAGCGATGATATAAATTTAAGAATATAGATGAAAATTTGATTAAAATTCTGATTATGTTATTTATTTATATTTTAATATATAGTTACTTTATACATTATATAAACTGTGAATTAAAGCTTTGCATGAGGCAAATCTATTTCAAGATTTATTACAAAAAGACCTTTTAAGTAGAACAAACTAAGGACTTGCTTCTTATGCTTTATTGTAAAGAGATGGCAGTGGAGACATTTGAATGAATAAAATAGATATGGATCTTCTGTCAGTCTACCACTGATACATGCAAGTACATATGCTGCATTTACAGCTGAGAGCAGTGCAAACAAGTGTAAGTGTCAGCTCACAACTACATAAAGCTGGCTGGTAACACTGCACGATTGGGATAGCTAGTAGTCCTGCTTGCTGCTTTCCAAGTGTGGTCCTGAGTTCTGTGTGTAAGTATCTGTAGCAAATGAGGCAGCGTGCTGGATTCCATGTGGGTGGGTTACCTGTGGTTATCACTCACTTTTCACCCGGTTTTTGTAAGTTACCTGAAACACACACTATCAGTTAATAACTGTTAGTTTCCTCAGTGAGGCTTCCTGTTGATAAGTCAGCGATAGTAGTTAGGGTTTGAGGAACCAAAATCTATGCTCTGATTTTTGACTCAGGATGACTGTGCCCCTGGCAATGCCCTCCTCGTTGTTCAAGGTCCTCTCTACTTATTTTTCCTGGCCTTGAAAACCTGTGTTAAAGCAGAGGTTTACTTGCTTTTGAGTTCCTTCTTTGCTGTAAAAACTACTTGTTTCTTCCTTGTTTGTTGTTGGGTTTTAAAGTTTGGAGATTGAGATGTGTTTAGGTTTTTTTCCCCCCTCTTTTATAGTCAGAAATCTTTGAGTCTTTAGCTTTTGATGATATCATGAATCTGTTTGTAGTTTAACTGGGTTTTTCCTTCTGTTGCAGGGGACTAGGGAGCTGAAGGAGAGCCAGCGTCTCCAGAATTGGTAAGTATTTTTACAAAGCTAGCGTAGTGTGTATGATTTTAGCTGGACTCAATCAAATATTAAGTGATTTTGTAAGTGATTTTTTTTTTTACCTCCTAAAAAAGCTTTCTTCTTCAAAACAAGTCTTTGTAGTTTGCACCAAAAGTGAATTTTTAGCTTCACAGAGCTGTATCTGAAATGCATTTATATTTCTGATAACTACACTAGACTTGCATGCTCCTGAATTTGATAACCCATTAAAACTTGAAGGCCCCGTTGGCAATAATTGAGTAGTTAGGCCTGAGAATTCAAAGTCAGGAAAGACAAATTCAGGTTAGGTTTCTGTTGTACCCTGCATTATTGTGCTGTTCCATGTGAGGCCTCCCTGTGTATTAGCTGGCTAGGTTACTGCAGCTCTCCAGCCTCCACCTTCAAGTTGGAGCCTCCTGATGTTTGTATTCTTATGCTTACCATTAGATTGCCTTCAAGTCGGAGATTAAGTTTTTAGTGTGTGTTGTTTTGTATAATTTTTAAAAGAAGAGAGAAGCAAACATGTTTTTTTATACTTTTAAATAACTTACAGCTTATTGTATTTACTCAGATTTTGGATGTCTTAATTCAAGGTCCTAGATTGCACTGGGTGATCTGGCACACTAAGCACTGGCAGTAACAACTTTATTTTGATTGCATGTGCTATGAAAAAAATTCAAGCTACAATTGTGTGATTTCCCAGTATAAGGCAGCTTTAAAAAATTCTATCACTCAAATAGTAATAAACTTAGTGGGTAGAATGGAACAAATTTTTGGTTTGAGGGTTTTTTTTTTTTAGAGACAGAGTCTCACTCTATGTAGCCTTAGCTGTCTTAGAGCTGGCTCCATAGATTCTAGGCTAGCCTTGAATACAGAGATCTGCATACTGAGTGCTGAGATTAAAGGCATGCACTACCACCATGCCCAGCAGTTTTGGTTTTGTGGTCCTTCTAGTATGTCTCTGAGTTTAGAGACTGGGTTTTAAACATAAAAGGGAGACTCTTGAACCAAAGAACTTTTTAGATTTTGCTACCATTTGGTTCTATTGCCTTTCTCTCATGGAACCTTGTAAAGAAATAAATCACTATTCTTTACCTTATGGTCTTACAGAATCATGGAATCTGTCCTGCTTGACAATTTCTTTGCCTACATTCCTGAGTGGTTGTTACTTATTCGGGTCCACATTGAATACTAATGTTTTAAAAAATGTAGGCTGTTCTGTTTTCTGTAATGAATATGTTTTGAGAAATTCTGATTCCACAGAAGCTAAGATTGGTCTGGGGTGGGAAACGGGTTCTGTGGTCAAATAACATGGGAAATGCTGCATTAAACAAAGTTAAACAGGTTTCTTTACTGCAGGACTTCTCAGAACCTTTAATATGCTAATGTGCATTGTGAATCTCCAAGATGGGGATATGATTTGCAGCATTCTTGAATCCTTCTAATGACAGGGAGCCCACTACCTCATAAGGTAACCCATTCCTTTTTTGTACAGCTCTAACCCTTAGTCCTTCTTTATACTTATCTGAACTCTATCTCCCATGGCTCTGCTTCTACTAAGTATGATACGGATTGGTTATGGTGGGACATGTTCCTGTGTCTCTCTTTCTTTGGTCTATATTTATCATAAGCTTCTGGCCAGGCTCGCCTGAACAGCCCTCCACCCCCAAATCATTCAGTGACCTTTCATTACACGTGGCAACCAGTTCTAAAGTCTCAGACACTGCATCACTGTGGTTTTGTGCACCACTTTCCAACCTTCATTTTGAATTTCTATAAACTCTAAATTTTACTTCAGTGTTCCCCTTGTTGGGTGAGGTTGGGGTTTTAATAGGCATGCTTCCTTTCCCTGCAGAAACATAGGGAATAGAAGAATGGGAGTGTGCAGGCAGCCTGTGTCCCAGAAGCTGAGTTTGACCTGTACTTTGGGATGAGCCTGATGTGGGAAGAGGTGCAGCCTCTAAGGAGAATGTTGTGGGAATTCCTGCCTTGACCCAGTGCTATGAGCTCTAGACGTTGTCTTTAGAAAAATAAATGACCTCTTCTCTTCCCAGTAAACTCAGACAAATGGAGATAATTTAACAGATTAAAAAACATCATTTACTAATAGTAAACAACAGTAACTATTCAGTCTAATAGTTTGGAAATACCCAGCTACTAGCTACAGTGGTTTTAGCAAACAGCCTGGTCAGAGTCCTAGAATAGGCAGCCTCTAAAGTCAGAGTTGTCAAGTTTTATGAGGGATGTTTTCTGTTGACTTGAGGAGTGTCACCAAAGAAAGAGCACTCTGAGATAAGTCAGAATATATTGAAAATTTACAGAATAATAAGGAAAGATTAGATTTCTTAATATTTTTTGATTCATGTTAATAATACTTAAAACGTTAACAAATGCTACTAAAAGGCCCTTTTAGTTTTAGCAAATTCATGGTAATCTTTAGCACTATTTGTTAATCATCAAGATATTATTCTATCTCACTGTATATTAAATATATTGTAAAAAATTGAATCCTGGTATTTCAATTTTGAGAGCAGGGCAAAATAAAAGGGATGTATAGATTTGTATCTGCTTTTTCCTGTTTAAAATAGTAAACTCAAAAATTGTCTGTGACACAGGGACGTTTGTATATGTAGGAAATGCATGGTGTAGAGAACACAATCTTTTTAGGGACAGTTTGGGAGCACATCATGTCATGAACTTATTAAAGTAACTCTTGGTTGATGTGTCAGATTTGGCTAGGAAAAGAAGTCTTGTCAATTTTTTTGCAAAGTATTTCTTAGCAGTAGAAAGGGTTTTTGAATTTCCCTGCAAGTCTTAGCAGAAGGCCCAGAGGTTATACAGCTTCATGCAGGAGTTGTAACAGCCCCATTAGAGAATTTGAGAAGTTTTTTAAATTTTATTTTTCATTTTTAAGTTATTTGTATTAGTTTGGGTGTATGAGTGTTTTGTGTGCATGTATATCTGTGCACCAGATGCATTCCTGCTGTATGAGGAAGGGATGAGCCTCCATGTGGGTGCTGGGAATCAACAGCCTCGGAGCCAAGTCTACAGTGTGAGAATTTAACAAGTTTTATTCAAAGTTAAAGCTTGAAGAAGTATGTCAATATCTCAAAACTTGATGGCTCACAAAAAAAAACAAAAAAACAAAAAAACAAAAAAACAAAAAAAACCAAAAAAAACCAAAAAAAACCAAACCAAAACCAAACCAAACCAAACCAAACCAAACCAAACCAAACCAAACCAAACCAAACCACCTTTTCTGAGACCTTCCCTTGATTCAACCCTCATAACAGTCCTGCCTCAGGTGACATGAACCCCGTTTCCCAGAGGATAATGAATGAATGTCTTTGTTTTGTTCTGGGGGAGGCAGTAAATGGTCCTTCTTCACCATCTAGCTGCCCTTTTTTGAGTGAGATCTGTTTATTGTTTTGTACGTGTGTTTGTGTGTGTTTTGAGATAGTGCCTCTTACAGTCCACTTTGGCCTTGAACTTACTGAGTAGCTAACGACAACCTTGAACTCCTGATCCTTGTGCCTTCACCTCACAAATGTTAAGATAGCATGTACCCTACTATCTGGCTGTTTTCTGCTTTGTTTTGCATTGTAGCTTGAGAGGCTATCTGGTTACCTGGGGCTTTAGTGTGTACTGCATTGAAGGCAGAAGGTTGGTATGTTGTGCTAGGCAGGATGCTCTCAGTGATGGAGGTATGCAGAGATGTTGGATAGAAAGTGTCTGTTATTATCTTGTGAATTTGTTTATAGTCACTGTTCAGTAACTAATTTGTTTTATATACACACACCTTATTAGAATTGGACAAATATAATAAATTACGTCTCATACCTTTGGGGGCTGATGAGATGGCTTAGCAGGTAAAGGCCCTTGCCACCATGACTAAGGACATGTTTGATCCCTAGAACCCACATGGTGCAAAGAAACAATATCTTCACATTGTCCTCTGAACTCCACACACACTCCATGTCATGTGTGCCCTTCCCAGTAAACAAATGTTATTTTAAAAATGTTAAAAAAGTAATACTGTGTTGTGAAGCTGTAGACTGTTTCTAAATAATGTTTGCATGATGCTGCATACACTAAGATCCCCATGTATTTTAAATGCTCCAATATGTGTGCCTTGTGTTTAAAAATTATATCTTCTATATTTTAACTATTATGTATAGAGCAATCTCTTAAAACAATTGTCCAGAAAGAGACCTTTCTGATGAAGGATTTCAAAATCACCTTCCAGTCCTTGCAAGTTTCTCTGACCAGTCATGATCTTTTTTAACCCTTTAGTCTTATATGAAATAAAATACGTCATTGGCAGTTAAATGCCTTTGTGTATCTCTAGTAAGAGGACAGCCACCGGATGGAGGGAGTAAAAGCTGTCAGCTCCTCAGTAGCTTGACTGGCAGGCTTGTTATGCGAGGCATGCTTTGACATTTAGAGTCTCCAGGTTAAAAACCTTGTTTTTACTCTTTAACTCTTTCTCACTACCTCCTCCCTTCCCCCTTCCCATTACCCTTCTTTCCTCTATTCTCTCCCCCCCCTTTTCTTTCTTTCTCGGAGACAGGATATCCTGTAGCCTAGGCTGGACTCAAAGTCACCATATAGCTCAGAGGCTGGCCTTGGCCTTCAGTCTCCACCTCTTGAGTGCTGGGATTGCAGAAGTGTGTCACCATACCCAGCTACTTTTTTCTGTTGAGGTTTTTTTGTTTTATTTTGTTTTTGTGGAGTTTTTTTTTCCTTTCATGTTATAAAAGTTCCTGATGTTTTATTTAATTCTCATTTATTTTTTTCTCAGTTGAAAGGAGATATGCATCATCTATGGTAACGTTTGAAAATACTGACACTCCCCAAAACAAGAAAGTTTAGTAGCTCTTTTGTCCTTTCGCCCATGAACGGCTTTTAGCAGATTATGAAGTGCCATCAGACCCACCCTAGGCAGTTTAGAGTTTATTATTATGCATCTTGATTATTACAGGTAAAACCTACCTTCTTAAACTATGTTTCTGTCATTAGTACAGATGGGTGCCTCAAAGTCAGTGGTCAGTCTGTCAATAAGATTGTTACTAGTATATTCATGTTCTTATTGTTTCATAAAAGAATTCTCATTCATGCATGTCAAGTACTTTGACTGAATTCACACTTTTTATTGATCATTCTTATGTCTTGTGAGAATTGGTTTTCTTACATTTTTGTTAATTAACATGTGAAAGCCCTGACTGTATGAACAGGGTTAACCTGCTGGGGTGGGTATTGTAAATTCTCCATGTCTGTGACCTGCTTGTTTCCAGAGTTAAGAGTTCAGCTGAGCTCTGCTGAGATGTGTCACCAACAGTGCAATAAACTAGGCCTTGCTGATTTTGAACATGCTGTTGTGGCAGGATTATCCTTCATATACAAAGAATTTTAGGAAATCTTTTTAGACACATTTTCTGATAGAACTTTGCAAAAATTAAGACCATGTTTTTAAAACTATAATATAAACTGAGTATGGTAGATTACATTTATAATCCCAGCACTCAGGAGGCCAAAGTAGGAGGGATTGTGAGTTCAAGACTAGGCTGAGCTCTATAGGAGGTTGCAAATGTACGTGACCATAGCAGTCTTGCTTTACATGAGTTACTAATGATTCTGGTATTCATTATAATTCCAAACAGTTTTTAGGCTAGTAAGTGGCTGAAATTCATGATATGTCTCCTTTTAAAAATTATTTCCCCTAAATATCCTGCCTGTATGAATTTTTATAATTACCAGTAAATCTTTGCCAGCTTCTAGAGATGTAACTTTGAAAGAATTTTGCACTTTGAGAATTCAATCTGTTTTAGGTTAGAATATTCTGATTTTACATAACATTGTATATAAACCCTATAGGAGAGATTGTCATTGATGTTTTAAGCCCAGAGAGATTAAGTAAATATAATGAAAACTAGAAATCCTAAGAATATGTTTTCTAGCTAACAATTCCATCAAGCTCTATGAGCTTAGTCTTACAAAGGCTTTGAGACACCCAGGCTGATGAGGACTGTCTGTGCCTAAGTGGTTGCTGGGCAGCCTGGTGGCTGTGAGTATTGTAGTCAGGTACTAGTTTTCCTTTCTCAGTGTCAAAAGGCAGTGCTAGCCACAGCTTTTATAGGTACAAGGAAGGAAATATATTTTTAATAAAGTTTAAATTTATTTAGACAAAAATGCCTTTGCTTTAATAAATAACACCAAATCATGGTCACATTTAAGAAAAAAAAATTCAAAGAAAAACTAGCCATTTCGTTAAGCTGCAGTAGTGCTGGTGTAGGACAGGAAAGTGAGACTGGGTGTCCCATTTACGGTCATAAATTCAGACTTTTGACATCTCCACATACAGTTACACATATGGTGTGTAAGCTAGAGTGCGATCAAATTAAAATGCACCCCCCACCCCCTCCCACCCCCCACGGTGGGAGACTGGGAACTCCCCAGTCCGTTCTGATTTTAAAGTGCTTGACATGCTTTGTACATTCTGGATGATGTCAGTCTCCCCTGCTAGTTCTCATCTGATGGAAGTGGTCCTTCTGCTCCCTGTCCTCAGTGCTGGGCACACAGTGCTGGGCACACAGTGGGTGTTCATGTGTTTCCTTGACTCTCTCTTTTGCTGTTGTATTCCCTTTTTTAGTTGTTTGAAGTGTTCTATAGAGGAGTGTCCAAAAAAAGAAAACCCAGAAAGTTTTGGTACTGAATTATTTTTAAAAAGTCCTTTGGGGATATTCTTTTTTTAATGTTACAAAATATAATATTTATAATTTAATTATTTTGACAAAAATTTTCTTTATTCCCAATACAATGATCCCAAACATTTTATGATCTCTACAGCTGCAGCAACAAGAGGAGCTTGTAATTTTAAACGGAGGCTGAAGACACTGTAGAATTAGCAGACATAAGAAAGCGAGGAGAAGGCAGAGGATGGAGTTGCAGACTCTACAGGAAGCTCTTAAAGTGGAAATTCAGGTTCACCAGGTATGTTTTGTGGTCGGCTACTGATGCATACTGTATTACTAACGAGACAGGCCCAGATCATTCTAAGACTTACTCAATGACCATGGCATTTGCCCACTCACTGCTCCACAGTTGTGCTCAGTACTGCCTTTAAGAACTTGAATAGGATAGTCCTGACATCTTTTCTAGAAAAAGAGGACTGGAAATATTTTTTTCATATCCTAAAGGTATTCGAAAAAGAAAAAATTAAAGAATTATTTTTTGCTATATTTCTGGCCAGTTTGAAGGCCTTCTGTACACAGCATACCTTCTTTGCATGTTCTGTTTTTTTATTTACTTTTGCTCTTTTGACAGAGCCTCAGATTGGCCCCGAACTCCCCACGTAAACTACATTGACTTTGAATGTGTATTGGTCCTCATGCCTCTGCTTCCCCAGTGCTGCCTTTCCTCACTTCACTGTGGTAAGAATGGGATGTATACTTACTACACATGCCAACACCTGTGCTCATCCCGGACTCATCTCTGTGACTCCCTGCTCTCTTTTTTATTTATTTATTTGATGATTTCAACCTTTGGTAAAGAAAATCTGGTTGCTGTCGTCAGTATTTAAAATGTTCTAATCCTTACATTTTACCTCAGATAAAAATAAACAAACCTTTGAAGTATATGATTATAAAATGTATATATACATTTACACAATTGTTTCTAAAGTACAATAACATACTAAAACACTTAAAATATTCTGATTTGTATATGCTAATATGGAAATATATAAAAATAAACATATAATTATACTCAAGACAGAAAACTACTCATAAATAGCTAAATCGTTAACATTTACTACATAAACAGACTACCACTGTTTGTTTCATTTTCATGATATCAGCTGGGCATTAGATTTAAAGCACATAAATAAACATACTTGTATATAATCCTTGGAATTCAAAGTAATAAATGATGAGTTGGGTACTTTTGACCATGTAACATATCGTATAATATGAGGATGGAGTGGATGCAGGAAGGAGCCAGTCTCTGTGTCATAGTTTGGTTTGAACCCAGAGCTTCATACATGTCAGTGAGTGCTCTACTACTGAGCTGCATTTCCAGTTAGAATATACTGTAGTCTTAGGGTCTCACCTCAAATGATCTTTAGTCTTCCTGTTGCAGCTTTCTAAGTTCTGGGTTTTATAACTTCGAGCTACCACATATTCATTACTTGTTAAAAGTGTTTTTAGGTATAGTAATTTCTCTTTTTTTTCTTGTTTGAGCTAGTACAATATTGATTTCTGAACACATGTGCACACGCACACACATGCACACACACTTGGACTTCTGATAATTGCTGGGTTTGCCTCAGAATTAGTGTGGATTAGGACCTACAGGAAAGCTTCAAAGTTGTGCTGTGTGTGTGTGTGTGTGTGTGTTTTGTTGTTGTTGTTTCCCACATGGAACTCTTTGTTTGAAAGTCCCTGCTGCTGCTTTGGACCGGGTGGATCCTGTGTTCAGTAGAATGTGTATGGCATGCATGTGCACTGCATGTGTGCCTGGTGTCTGGGAGGCCAGAGAGGGATATCAGGTTCCCTGGACCTGGAGTACTGAGGGTTATATTTAGGGGTGCTGGGAATTGAACCTGGGTCCTCTCAGAAAGCAGCCAGGTTTTTGAACCACTGAACCATCTCACCAGTCCCTGGGTGAAAATATTTTAACATAGAGGAATATTGAATCCAGCTCAGGACAGTGACATGTAACACAACTTAAATTCATAATTGTTTAAACCTGGTGTCTCCAGTAGATTTTGGGAATATAGTATCAATTTGAAATCTATGTGAATCAAAGTTAATTGTATGGTGGTATATGTGCTTTCTATAGTTTTTTTTCCTCTTAAGAAAATACGGGCCGGGCGGTGGTGGCGCACGCCTTTAATCCCAGCACTTGGGAGGCAGAGGCAGGCGGATTTCTGAGTTCGAGGCCAGCCTGGTCTACAGAGTGAGTTCCAGGACAGCCAGAACTACACAGAGAAACCCTGTCTCGAAAAACAAAACAAAAAAACAAAAAAAAAAAAAAGAAAATACGGAATGCGGTTTATATTCTTTTGGTTCCTCATAAGCTACATGCCCCAAATAAATATTTATTGAACAAATTTTCTGTAGTTGAACTTTAAAAATATTATCTTATTTCATAATTTGGAAGATAAATGAATGATTATTAAAAATGTAGGCTTTGCTATGATGTTTTAAAGTCCAATTACCATTTATGATTAGAGTCAGCAAGGTGACTTAGTGGGTAAAGGGTAAATGTGCTTACTGCCAAGGTTTGCAGTATGAGTTTGATTCCTAGAATCTACAGATAAAAGCAGAACTGAGTCCTGAAAATTATTTCTGACCTCCACATGTGTGTTGTGTGTGCAGTCTTCCCCCCCACTCACTATAAATAAAAATAATAAAATAATAAACTATACTTGTTGGTTCAAGGGTATATATTCTAGGTATTTTAAACATTCTAAATATTAGCTGTCAGTCTGTTTCTCTATATATTTAGCCATTTAAGTATAAAGTTATAGCCTTTTAAATTGAATATTTAGTTAAGTATTTTTTATTTTATGTATGCATGTATGTGCACATGAATATGTGTAACATGTACTGTGTGCATGCAGTGCTCTACTAGATCTTCAGACAGTGTTAGATCCATGAAACTGAGTTACAGGCAGTTGTAAGCCACCTGATGTGGGAGGTAGGACTCAAACCTGGGTCCTCTGCAAGAGTAACAAATAATCTTAACTGTTGAGCCATCTCTTCAGCCCCCAAATTATAGTCTTAGATTCATCTTTAATTACTGTACTTTATTTATACAATTTGCATGCTGACTAATACATTTTAAACTATTTATTATGGTGTGTGTGTGCATATATGATGGTTGCTTGAGGGCATACATGCCATGGTGCATGTGTGGAGGACAGAAGACAACTTTGTAGAGTTTTATGAGTTCCAAGCTTGCTCTGTGTGTGTGTGTGTGTGTGTGTGTGTGTGTGTGTGTGTGTGTGTGTGCGCGCGCCCGCGCATGTCCCTACACTGGGCAAGGGTAGACACTGGATATCTTTCTCTATCACTGTATGACTTATTTTTTGAGACAGAGTCTCTGACAGAACCTCAGGCTCACTTGATATCTAGACTGGTTGAGTGCTGAGATCCGAGGGTCCTCCTAATTTTATGTCTCAGCTCTAGAGTTACAGGTGTGTCACAACACACCAAGCCTCTTCATGAGTGTCAGGGATCCAGACTCAGGAGTTAGGCAGCACTGTATTGACTGAGTCATCTCCTTAGTCCCTTATTTTCCTAGTTTTTGGGGAAAAAAGTAGTGGTAAATCCAAGTGAGTCTGAAAACTGGTGTTGTTGTGATTGGCTGTTGGGTGATGATGTGTGTAATTCCTGAACATGAGACACTCAGGAAGACCAGAGATGATGCCAAAGCATGGGTCCTGGATACTGGATGGAACCACGGCAAGAGTAAACTTTGAACTAAATGTTAAAACAAAAGCTATCTTTTGATGCATTTCTAGTTTGGGAATTAAATTAGTTAAAAGTCAAGCTTTTAAGGTTAAAAAAATATGTTAAGAAGTTGCCTAGTGTTGCTGTTTGGAGTTTGGTTCTTTATGTTTCTGCATGTGTGGGCAGATGCACCAATATGTATATAGTTTATGGTCAATAAATACTTAAGTTATAATGGCCATTTCTGGGGGGGTATACCTCCATTTGGTTGATTTTGTGTGTACCTTTGTGTGTGTGTGGTGTGTGTGTGTGTATGTGTGAGAGAAAGAGAGAGAGAGAGAGAGAGAGAGAGAGAGAGAGAGAGAGAGAGAGAATGTATTAACTCCATATGGAATGAGATTAGTATAAAGCAAACAGAAGTTAACAAACTTTTTCTGTAAAGGGCCAGATGGTAAATATATTAGACTGTAGGTCGTTTATACTCTGTGCTGCTGCTCTGCTGTGTTACTGAGCAGGCAGACCAGCCACAGACAGTGTATAAACAAATGGGAATGGCTCAATTTCATAAGACTTTATTTAGGAAACAGGTGGTGATCTGGATTTGGTGACAGGGCTGTTGTTTTCTTATCTTTGACAGAATATAGATTATGAAAAATGGCAGCAGTCATTCAGTGGAAAGTAACTTGGATAACTCAATTCCAGTTTAAAGTCACTTGGGAAATGGATGGTCTAGTGAGCTCCTCATCTTGTCTTGTTTGTATGAGATGTAGTTTAACTGGTTATACATAGAAAAACATTTATTTCCTGCAGACATGGATCTTACCAGCCAGTTTTTAAATTCTAGAGTCATGAACTATATCATCACTCAGAGGTTAAGAACACTTACTGCTTTTGCAAAGGACCCAGGTTTGATTCCTACATGGTTTAAGCATCCACATGGAGGTTCATAGCCGTCTGTGACAACAGTTCTAGCGGATCTGTCACCCACCTCTGACATCTGAGAGTGACAGGCATGCACATGGTGCAAACTTTGAAGTATAATACCAAGCACATACAAACATGTAGGCAAAAAACTTATATACATTAAATAAATAGCAATTGAAAGAAATCCAGTGACATGGAAGAAAACCTCTTTTAACCCCTAAAACAACTTTGCAGATAATAGTCAGTTCTGTGGTAACCAAATCAAAAAGGACAGGCAGGCTATTGTTTATTTTTTGAGTATTACTACACTTACTCATTTCACATGTATGAGAGTTTGTGTGTCCCAGCACACCTGTAGCCGTCAGAGGACAGCTCTGTGGAGTTGGCTCTCTGTTCCCATGAGTTGTTTTCTAGGGACAGAGCTAAGGTTGTGAGTTGAGGTTGGAAATAATCTTTACCCACTCAGCTATCTTGCCAGCCCAAATAAGCTCTTAAGATAAGTGTGGCTAGATTTGTAAGGATGTAGATGATGCTTTACTGCACAGATCTAGATGAGGTTACTGAAGGGCTAGTCTTCTCAACCATGAAGCATAATTTCAGGATGCACACTTTATGCATTTGACAACCTCAGCTATCCAGAATGTATTTTAGTACCAGGAAGAAAGACTTTTGTCCAGTTAGAATAAATGTCATATTGTTCACTAAGCAATTCTTGGGCTAGTACAACCTGTTCACTTGTTTTAAAATTGGGCCAGTGTGTATCTCAGCAGATCTGATGCAGCAAAGTTAGGTTGGGGTTCATTGCTTTTAAAGAGAGTCACATTAACAGCAGGGCCTGTTAGCTGACTGCTTGACAACTAAAATTAAAGAGTTGGCAAGATGGCTAAGTGGATAGAGGCCCTGCCAGCCACCAAGCTCTAAGACCTGATTTTAATTCCCAGGACCCATATGATGGAAAGAGAACCAGCATTTGAAAGTGGTCTTCTGACTTCCACATATGCACCATAGCACATGTATACATAAACTACAAACAAACAAAAACGTAATAAACAACTAAACTAAAAATGAGGACTCATTACAACAGTGGTTTGGGGCCTTTAGCAAGTCATATGGTTCATTGTTTGTATATTAAGCCATATGATCACACTTCAAATTATAAGAGCTTGGCTTTTACTTAATAAAATAGATGAGTTTGTTATGTATTTTAGATTTTATTTTATAACAATATTTTAAAAGTGCCTTGTCACCCAAAGAATATGACAACTATTTCTATTATAATATGAAAAATTCACTTGGAGAAAAGCTAATCCTAGGTATCATCACTCTTCCCATTTTTTTATCTTTCAAATTCCTCTTTTACTCTTGGAATTTTGTTGTTGTTGTTGTTGTTGTTGTTGTTGTTGGGTTAGGTCAGATGACATTTATTTATTTGTTTGCTTGATGTATACTAGTGTTTTGTCTGCATGTATGTCTATACATGTTTTGTCTCTGATGCCTGCAGAGTCCATAAGATGAGCTAATCAAACAAAGTGACTGTACAAGAGGCTCCTTCTGTAAGATCCAAACCAATAGGCCTGCCAAACTTGTACTTTACTGTTTTCAAACAGCCCTGTTTTATATGGGTACAGCTTCTTTCCAGACCTTGTCTGGTGTTTTGAGACAGGGTCTCACTATGTATATAGCTCTGGCTGTCCTAGAACTCATTATGTAGATCCCAAACACACAAAGATCTGTCTGCCTCCTGTATGCTGGGATTAAAGGCTTGTACCACTATGCCTGGTCTACATCCTGCTTATTTAAACTTTAGAAGTCACTGTCCTCCTCCACATTGACAAAGCAGATACTTTTTCCTTTAAAATATAAAGAGATAATTGATTCTTCTTTTACAAAGAGTGCTTCATTAGCCTTTTATAGACATCACCAAAATTTTTGGTATATTTTTTGGTGGGGGGGGGGTGAGAGAGCGAGCTTGTGTGTGTGTGTGTACATACATAAACTTAAGTTGCCATAGGAGTTACTATGTGATACTGACAGTTCTTTTTCCTCTCTTTATTACCAGAAACTGGTTGCTCAAATGAAGCAGGATCCACAGGTAAAAAAAAATCCTGTTATGAACTTAATTTTTAAATGTAAAACAATTGAAGATGACAGTAAACTGTTATTGACAATAAACAATAAAATGCAGGTGTTAGTTAAATGAAAAACACACTTTGATCCCAAACAGCGTGTATGTTGATATTCATGTTTTATGAGTTTAAAGAAAGTCCAGTTGTAGAGTAAGATTGCTGCTGCTTCAACCTTGTTACTATTGTTTTACTTTCTTGTTACTTTTTGTGAGTATCTGTAAAAACAAACCAAACAAAAAAACAAGAAGTGAGGTTTAACAGGCTTTATATAGCCTGAATATCTTTCTTTAGAAAAGTACTTTTGAGACACTAGGCTGGCTTCAAACTCTCCTCCCTGCTTGACCTCCCAAACACTGAGATTATAGCCTTGCCTCCATACCTGGTATAGATTTAATTCACACCATCAGAATTAGAGTTTACCAGGCCTTTAAAGTTTCAAACTTACCGAAGTCCCTCTAAATCATTTTTAATTGTGTGCAGTTTATTTGTAAGACACCTGAGTACTGGATTTACAGCATTCACAGTAAAAATTTTAGAATAATTATTTAAAAATGTTTGAAATTTGTATTTTATTTTGTATTTTGTTTTGGGACAAGGTCTCATGTTCCAGAATAGCTGTGAATTTCATATGTAGCCAGAAATGGCCTTTGTTTTCTAACCCTTCTCCCTCCAACTCTCAATGCTGAGGTTATATGGACGTGCCATCATACCTGGCTTTGAAAGTTTTAATCTTTTAAAAGAACCCGTAAAGAGGGTTTCAGACATATCTTATACAATAATCTATAAACTGTTAAATTTACTTTTATAGGAGTTTTGACTTGGACATTTTATTCTTTTATAAAGAAATCTTCCCCCAAAGTTACCTTGCCCTCCAGTATTTATTTTTCAGTAGTGACTTCTTGGCACCCATTAACAGTGGGATATATGCCTCTCTGTAAAGTAAAATAAATCCCTGAAGAGTAGTACTCTGAGGCAGATTGATTTTTTTGAAGTAGGAAATAATTATTTATCTTGAGAAATTAAGGACCTGGTGGTCTTGTAGTTGCATTTTAATACAATTCATTAACTCTGAGAACTGGTAATTGTGACTTTCATTTATTCCTATTTGACAATCTGCCTCCCATGAGAAATATCCCTGATTTAATTTTTATTTTCTTTTTAGTGTATTCACAATTTAAATTGAATTTAGGGGACCAAGTAGCATCAGATTGCTAGGTCCTTTATATTTAATGTGGTGATCTATATTGTTAGGAACTGAAGTGTTCTCAGTTCTATTAGTTCATGATCATAGAACAGCAAATTCTTAACCTGGAAAGTCTGAGGGCAGTCAGTAACTTACTGGAGAACAGTTTAAGTAACCTCAGAGAAGCCTAATGTTCAGTACATCTGAAAATCCCAAATGAGGTAAGTTGAGTACAGGAGAGAATATGTGCCCCAGCCCTGACAGATCAGGCAGGGAAATGAAGGGGCTGTTTATGAAACAAGTAAATAAGTCTCTCACTAGAGTGACATTCAGGCTTTCTGCTATGTTAAACATTTGAAAACTTTAGTATTCTCCCCTGCCCCCTAGAAAAGGCAAACGTGCTCAGTGTATTTCATCTAAAATAGTACTTGTTTCAGTTCCTAGAATTTCAGCATGTTGATTTGAATGACGTGCTGTTCAGGCAGTTACAGTGCTGACAGCTTCCCAAATCTAGGCTAAAATAACAAATGTACTTTTCTAAATAAGAGAGAGGACAAGTAGAGAAAAGCCTCTTATCTTTGTTGATAATGCCGCTAAGCAGCGGGGTATGCATACTTTAACCTCCATTTTCCTGTTTTTGTCTGATTAGTGGAGCTTTAGACCGTCTGTCGACTGATACTTTCTATAAAGAATAACAGTATCTTAGGAGAAAGGTAGTAATAGAGTTCGAGGTCAGGAAGTGTAAAACTTCCTGTAACTCAACACGGTTATGAGGAAACTGCCCCTTTTGTATTAGGGGTTGATGTTATGCTTATAATTTAATGCATGGAAAATTGGATAGCTAAAGCTTGCTTCGTCACTTGTAATGCAGTACACAAGTCTTCCCGATACTATTATGTTAACAAATGAATATCTTTCTCACAGATATTTTTTCTTTCCAATCAGAATGCTGACTTAAAGAAACAGCTTCATGAACTCCAAGCCAAAATCACAGCTTTGAGTGAGAAACAGGTAGGGGAAGGCGGGGACATATTTTTAACATTGTGTTCTAAAGATATGTGTGCTTGAGGTGTCTAAGGGGGCTGCTGGTTTGTTTTTTTTGGTGTTTTTTTTTTCATGTGTGAAAATAAGTGTGGGCAGCCAGATTCAGTCTAATTTTGCTTGAGCTGTTTATCTATTTTTATTTTTGCTTGAAATCAGTCTCTAGAGTATCCCTTGAGTATATGCTACTGGCAGATACCTAAAAGCAATGTGGCAGGCTGCTCTTAACTGTGTTAATTAAACTGCAGTTTACCCATAGGTGAAGGGACAGAGAAAGTTAGTGGGAGTGTGTGATATGGAGTCCTGCAGAGGCAGTGTCTTCTTACCTGTTGTGAAGGTTTGAGCTGACATTTAACTTATGGTTTGCTGTCTATGTAAGTCTCCTGTTCTCAGTGTTGTCAGATTTTTATGCTAATCTTCATCAGATGCTGACCTACTATTTGAAAACTCTTTGACGAGAATTCCTAGACTTTATGTAGGGCAAGAGAGGAGCATCTTATATTTTGTATAAAGAAAGTGCTGCTGGTACTTTTTGTAGAGTGGCTTCCACTTTACCAACTGAGGCAGTTCCTGCCACCAGGTGGAGTGTGACAGTTGACAGTGCTGTGAGTTCTGCCTGTGGTAATCTGAGGAGCATCCCCTGTCTTCTTCCCTCACTCCTCCCCCTCCAGTATAAAGAGCAGTTTCTGTCTTGGAGTAAGGAGCAGATACCAGTGAATTAGTTGTGTGCTACTGAAACCTTACTGAAGAGTTGATAAAACGGCGGTTTTCAGTAACTTTGAGTTTTATGTTGTTGTCTAAACAATAGCAACATTTTTTTTCCCTGCAGATTTTTGTGTTTTTCATTTTACTGACGAGAGAAATAAATTTTGAGAACCACAGATGAGATAATCTTCTAAGCTGAGTGAACCACCCTTTTTTGATTCTTCTCTCTTTAATGCTTTCCAAACTTGACTCCACAGACAGGAGATATTTTAGATTAGAAGCCAGAGTAAAACTGGGAGGTGATAGGATGCAGAGACAGAGAGGAATTATAAGGGACCATGTAAGTAAACAGGGCTTGTTAGTATGTGACTGAGTTCTCTAGATGGAAGCATGCTGGTGACAGTCTGGCTTTAGAGCTAAGTTTTGAGCCTCCTTACAGTTGCAGGGTTTCTCTGACAAGATGCCAGCAAGTGAGTCACTTTTGCCGAGTTTCATGTAGCTGGCAGAGAGGTTGAAAATGATTAGTAGGATGGGAGTGGGGAATATCTTTGAAAGTTAAAAGAATTCAGGGCTGCATTTCAGAGAAATGGGCAATCACAGAAAAATTTACATTTATTTTAAAAATCTGTTTATGATAATAACTTTGTGATAGGTTTGTGTCTTAATCACCATTCTATTGCTGTGAAGAGACACTATGACCAAGGAAAACATTTAACTGGGGGCTTGCTTACAGTATCAGAGGCTTAGTCCATTATCATCATATCAAGGAGCATGGTGCTGGAGTAGTAGCAAAGAATTACATCTGATTTACAGACAGAGCGGGAGGGTGGAGGAAGGGAGGGGGGAGAGACAGACACATATGTGCACATACACAAAGATAGAGAAATAGAGGGAGGGTGAAAAGAAAGAAGGGAGTGGGGAGAGGAAGAGAGACTAAGCCTGTCGTCATCCCCCAGCGCCCCATGACATACTTCCTCCAGTAGGATCACACCTCCTTATCCTTCTAATCTTTTCAAAGAGTTCTATTACCTGGTAACTAAGCATTTAAATATATGAGCCTGTGGAGGCCATTCTTATTCAAGCCACCATAGTTTGGCTTATTCTGAAACTGTTAGTCCTCAACTGACCTCACTTAGACAATTGCAACTGCCTATTCATCTACTGACAAAACCCTGACACTGCACTTACTAGGTAGCTCTCTATGTAGCTTCAGGAAGACCTTAAGCTGAAATGCAGTCTTGCTGTTTTTGTGTTTGCTTAACTATAAAAGTGCTGCCTTGATAGAATAGGGCAGGGCAGTGTTTAAGAAAGGAACAGCTGTCAAATGTGAACTCTGGCTCTCACTGACAGCATTCCAACCAGAAACCTTGCTGTTGTTCATCAGACTATAATCTAAAAGAGTTTTATTTTATAATGAGTTTCTAATGCTACCTGTTTGGTTTTCCTTGTCAAAAGACTACTTAGACTTTGATAAAACTTTTCCTTTCACTTTAGTAACTAAAATCTGAATTATCTTATTTACATGACTAATAGTTTTACTTACTGTTACATTGTTGTTGTGAGAAGAAGTTAAGTACAAAGCCTCTGAAGAGCCTTTCCTTCTCCTCTTGTGGGGACAGAGCTGAGAGGCACTCAGAATGGTTTAGTTTGACATACTGTCCTAGAATTTCCTACAATACAGCCTCTAACAAAACTAGGCTGTCTCAAGTCCCTGGCAAACAGGATTGTTTACCTTTATACCAAGAAGGTTGGGAAGGCTGCTAAATCTGCCTACGGTGTGCTCAGACAGACTTTTAGGGGTTCGTGCTGTGAGACCCAAAGTCCTGATATATTTTCTAAGACTAAGAAGCACATCAGCAGGGCCTGTAGAGTTCCCTGTGTGCCAAGCGTGTCCCTGACAGGATCAAACAGGCTTTCCTTGTTGAAAATCGTTGTGAAGGTCTTGAAGGTACAAGCACAAGAGTCAGAAAGCAAAATAAATATGCAGCTTTTTAAAGTAATAATAATAATAATAATAATAATAATAACTCTGAAAAAATAATGTTACAGACTTAACCCTTTGTCATATTTGCTTCCATTTTTTTCTATGTAATTTGTATATATCTATTTGTAAAGATGACTGCACAAATAAAGTATAGACATTTTCTTATTTTGCTTTATTAAAGAAATACAACATTGCAGATAGTTACAAATTCTTACAGTAGGCATATTCATTCTTATTCATTAATACAACCAGTCTTTGATAGCAAGATGAGGTCTTGGTGAGCATCTTCTATGGTAAAACTCAGTGAATTTCCTTGAATGCGTGCTTGGAAGTTTTTATTGCTTTCAAACTGTAACTTGAGATTCATGAACAGAAATTGTAGGGTGGATTTAGAAGGCAGCTTCACCTGTAGAGATTCAATTTGTGTCTGATACTTTTAATTCAAAACATTCCTAGACTCAGTTGGCTAAATAAACTGTATGCTATGTAGTCAATTAAATCGTGGTTTAGTAACATAGAATAACTCTACTCAGAGGCATTTATGACTTTATCTGCATTACAGCCCCGCTTTGTGTTTGCTCTGTATATATGCCTATGTGGGCATGCAAATGTGTGAGAAAACAAAAATGTTGGGAGGTGGTATTTTACATATAGGTATTTCTCCCCCTTATTCTCCTGTGTGTATTTTCTGAAATCTCCGTAGTATATATGCCTTATTTTTAACATAGTGAATAAACAAGAAACTTTTTTTTTTTTTAAAGACACCCGTCTCTGGTCTGTATGTGGAATAGTTAGCATTTGAAAACCTTGTGTTGTTTTCATCATGATAGACGATCCCTTTAATCAGAGATTGCAACTGTCTTGAACCATAGTGGGACAGCGTGTGGAAACAGCCATTCATTTCCTCAACAGGATGCATACCCATTCTGCACTCCCCTCCATTTATATCTGACAAATATGTAGTCTGTGGCAGAATCCGGAGATTTGGATTCTGGAACCAAAATGCTCAGTTGCTTTAGTGTTCTGTTTTAATTCTGATTTCTTGTAGAAACAACACCCTTTCTTCTCTCTCGTCTTCCCTTTCCCTTCCTCTTTCCTTTTCCTTTCCCCTTCCCCTTCCTTCTCTTCTTCTCTCTTCTTTCTCTCCTGGCAGTTCTGGGGATGGAACCCTGGGTTTTGTACATGATAAGCAAGTGACTGTTATAACAATACCCCTAGCCTAACAGTCAGTCTTAACATTCCAAAGTGTTGCTTTTCCCTAGGAGGATTTAGGCCCTAGTTGGTATTCATTCAAGGTGGTATTCTCTGCCTCAGTTTGCCAGCCTGTCTCTCTGGTTTCATCTCACTGCTAAGAGTTGTTACTTCCACTGAGCAGCAAACCCTAAAGCTCCTTTCTCCTTCATAACCTTATTGAAGCCTTTTATTTTCTTTATAGTTAGTGTTATTTACAGTCAGGTTTGTGAATGACTGAAACCCCCACATAAAGGTAGCTTAAACAAGCATACTTGTACTTCTGTGTCATCCAAGAGCTCTGCAGTAGACTAGGCTGGAAAGAGTATTTGTACAGTGTCAGTGACCCAGGCACCTCGTGTTATGTTGCTCTGCCATTCTCAGCGTGAAGCTTCACATCAGAGTCCAAAATAGCAGCTCCATCTGGTGAGAAGGGGGAAATCAACAGAGAGGGAGCCCTTTATTTTTAAGGATGTTTACTGGAAGCTTTATGTACCACTTCCAGTTAAATATCCTTGATTTGAACAATCACATGGTCTCACTAGTTGCAGGGAAGACTGGGAAGTGTAGTTTATTTCTGGAGGCCGTGGTCAGATAAATTTAGGCACTGTATACTGAAGCTAAATACATTTTTACCCACTGTAGCATACCACAGTTTGTGATTACATATCTACTTAAAATTACTATTTTTAAAATGTCTTACTAAATGGTTTCAAGAACACAGATTGCTGACAGTGGGAGTGGGGGTGTTTCTGACTCTTGTCTGCTCTTGGGACCCTTTTTCTCCTACTGAGTTGCCTTGCCTAGCATTGATATGAGGGAATGTGCCTGGTCTTATTGTAGTTTATTGTGCTGTGTTTTATTGATGTCCCTGGAAGGCCTGCCCTTTTCTTGGTGTGTGTGGGGGGATGGAGTGGTGTGGATCTGGGAGAGAGGGGAGAAATGGAGGACCAGGGAGGAGGGAAGCTGCCGTTGGGATATATTATAGACTAAATATAGATATATTAGAAGACTAAATTATTAAAACTAAATTATTATTAAATTCCCTGTA